CCGTGGGCAAACACCTCAATCTCCAGTATGCCGCTGTCCAGCAACCTCGAATCTGTAGGGGAGGGGGGGCGGACACAACTCGCTGCAGTATTTTGAATTTGAGTGCAGTAACCGTTTTGGCCACATTCTTACATACAGCGCCTTTAAAATTGTGCGATGGCTTTCTCATGGAGGTTGCCATCTTCCTGTAAAACTCGCCTGGCTGGATAGTTTCGCAATGCATCCTGGGAAATTCAATCTTCTCCTCAGTTGAGATGGGTTCGTAAGTGTGCATCACACGACCCTTAAAATTAAGTGGGGATTTTAAGGGCTGAAAAGCACTTCCCTAAAGTTTGGGACACCATAGCCCTTCATGGGAACGCACAAACACTAGGGCCAATTTTGAGGGGAAGTGTGAGTATTGGGACAGACCCCAAGTCTCAAGTGTTTGCACTCAAGTCCCAAGTCAAGACACTCAAGTCCCAAGTCCTAATCTTTAAGTTAACAGTCTTACATATTAACAATCTAATAAATGTACATAAATCATGAACCCTTTTGAAGATTTGTAATTATTTGTTAAAAACAACTTTTTTTAGAAGTTGTTGCATCTCCGTCTGTAATTTCTGACCCACGTCGTACATACTGTAGTTCGTTTTTTAAACTATCAGTCCCAAAACAACAACAACCAACGCACTGCGGGTACCTTGCATATCTCGACGTGGAAAGTCCATGACCAAACGTTATGTGACGAGGTATGAATGTGTTGTTTTCTACCTTTGCTGTCTTAAAGTTTCAAGCCTATTTCACATCTAACCACACCCAGCTGTGATGTCATGGTGTCCTGAGTACATCTGTGCATCGAGGTGAGGAGGTAGAAAACAACATTTTCAGGGGGTTAATTCAACCTCTAAGACATGCATCATATTATATGATCTTATAATATATTTGTGTTCAAAACAAGCATTACATAAGTGAAAAGTACAAAGTGGAAAACAAGACGAGGTATAAATGAGAGCGTCCATATGGCAGTGACATGTAGATTAGTGTGTCATTGGCTTGCTCTGGATGTTATGCTTATGTGTTGTGTGACTCATACAGACATCAGTGGGGGTTATATAACGTCACTGTGGTTCATCCTCTTCTTGCCAAAACCCCCTTTTACCTCTATCTGCGCACATATGTCCTCTTCACACTTATGTCACCTCGGTTTATTTATAGTCATGTGCACTGTACTGTATATCTAATGAGTCTGACTGCTATTTTTATTCATCAGCTTAATGATGCCTGAATGTTGAAGAAAAAACCCCATCAGATGGCACCTACTTAATGATATGATGATGACTCAGCTCAAAGTTTGGCAAAACACCAGTGTTAACAGACTGGTTTCCATCGCTACACTCAGATATACACTGTGCCTCTAATTACAAGTCATGATGGTGTTTATCTGCTGTGCTGGTACATGACTGAAGGTTTCCTCTGACTGACCGGCGCTCAGAGGGAACAACGCAGGGTGCAGGCTATTTATAGGACGCCTAATGACAGTGGAACTAATATGAATATTATATACAGTATTTATCATGAACAGATCATGAGACAATGAGCCCCCTTTGGCTTGGACGCATAATAATCCACACATAGTATGTGTAACTGTACAGAAATATGGTTCTTCCTGAAGGGCTGAGGTTCTACCCAGAACCATCTGCTTCTGAATAACTTTTTTTTGGGGCATTTTGCCTTTAATGGACAGGACAGGTAAGCATGAAAGGGGGCGAGAGAGAGGGATGACATGCAGCAAAGGGCCACAGGCTGGATTCGAACCCGGGCCGCTGCGGCAACAGTCGTGCACATGGGGCGCCTGCTCCACCCACCAAGCCACCGACGCCCCAGAATAACTTCTTTTTTAAAAGAAAGGGTTCTTCAGTGGTTCTTTGTAAAAATAATGGTTCAAGTGGGAAAACTTTTCATCCAAAGAACCCTTTGAAAGAAAGAGTTCTTCAAGAATTGTTGAAAGTGCGTTGTTGAAAGATCCTCACCCTCAAGCATTTAAATGCTTACTCATGTTTCAAATAGTATTTTTAAATGTTCTAAAATCCCCTTAATCCATTTATTGGAACTGTTTTCTGCCATAGTTTCCCAGTACGTTACATTTTGCATTCGGTTCGACTTTGGAACAGAGTTATGGTTCCCAAACCTAATGCACCTTTTAAATAGTAAAGGCTGTAGTAGCAGTGATTTCTCCAACCTCTATAAATATCAATGTGACCCACTTGAGTTTAGGGTACACTGGACCAAATCAGCCCCAGCTCTTTAGGAACCTCACAAAGCCTAAGTCTAGCTGACGTGGTTCCCCTGGCCTCGGACTAACCTGTTAATTTAAGATGAGACTTAAGACTTTCCTCTTTGATAAAGCTTATAGTTAGGGCTGGCTCAGGCTTGCCCTGTACCAGCCCCTAGTTAAGCTGACTTAGGCCTAGTCTGCCGGAGGACCCCCTATAATACACCGGGCACCTTCTCTCCTTCTCGTGTCCTGTTACTGCATGTCACTAACTCGGCCGTACCGCATGTCACTAACTCGGCCATTCTGGATGGCACTAACTCGGCTTCTTCTCCGGAGCCTTTGTGCTCCACTGTCTCTCAGGTTAAGTTGTATCGCAGCGGTGCCAGGATAGTGTGACGTGTGTGGTTGTGCTGCTGCCGTGGTCCTGCCAGATGCCTCCTGATGGATTCTACATGAAACCCCTGAATTAATAAAAAGTTTTTGGTAGAACCCCTAAAATGTTGAAATATAAAACCCCTGTGTGGGTGCTAGATGAAACCCCTGGAAAATAAAAGGGTTCTCTCTAGAACTTCCTGGGTGGGTGCTCGATGAAACCCTTGGAATATAAACGGGGTCTCTATAGAAACCCTTAGAAGGGTTCTTATAGGTACCCTTAGTAGGTGGAAAGGTTATAGATCCCTAAGAGAGTTCTGAACCATTACACCATAGAAGGATTCTCTGTAGAAACGTTAATAGGAGGTTGTGGGTGGAACCTTTCACAGATGGTTCTCGGTATAACCCTTTATGTTGGATTCAAGGTAGAACCTTTATAAAAGTTGCTACTACGAACCAAAGAGGGTTCTGCCATGGGGGACAAGCCAAAGAACCCTATATAGGGTTCTACTTATCACCTGTATTTCTAAGCCTATATCCTCAGGTTGATTCAGAACAGGAGCGCTGAAGTCTGGTAACTGTGAGAATCCTTCCATCTCACCATGACACGTCCACTGTTTGACTACACTGGAGTCTATCAGCAGAGCAGCTCTGCGATGACTTCATCAAGGCCTTGTTTGTCACCTCTGTATAAACGTCCCTGAGCCTTTATGCCAGCATCTCCATCAGGACAAGGTAAAAAGGTTGCTAAGCAACTGGGACCTGGCAGCATGTTTCTTTCCTCCAATTAAAAGAGGAAACCTGCCCGAGAGGGAGCAGAAACTCACTGATGAATCTACTAATTGCTTGTGTCCACAAGGACCAGGTAATCTCTCACTGTGTTGTTATTGTTACAACTATCGTACGTCTCAGTCAGACAATCTGATGCCAGGATACTGCAATACTGCATATTTTATCTACCATATAGTGTTAAATAAGTTATGCTTTTATGTATACACAGGCCACTGGATCTCATTAACATTCAAATGTATTATTGAAATTCATCATTCGATGAACTTCATGTCTTTAGATATTCCCTCTGTATCTGTCAGACAGTGATGATCAAAGCTTGTCTGTACCACATCACATAGAGGTTTTTGATGATTTTATTTTTGTGTGGTACCAACTTTGATTTCAGATGTTGAAGGTTCTGATGACAACATTTAGAGCACTAATACGGCAGCGACCACCCAACAGCTTGCTGTGTAAAGATAGTGGAGTAATGGCATCCTGGGCAGAGAATTAAAGGTCCAGTGTTACCAGCCTCAATCTAGGGACGATTAGTGAGGGTAGGCTCAAGGATCTCAGGTCACGACTTGGAGCATAGGTAGTCAGAAGCTCAGCTATATAAATGGGGGCTAAACTATGTTGAGCCTTAAAAGAATCTTATAATCAATTCTGAAGTTAACTGGCAGCCAACAGAGGGAGGCGAGGATTAAATGGATATGTGACCTTCGATTTGTCCCAGTTAAAATACGAGCTGTGGCATTCTGCACTGGCTGAAGCCGAGCTGATGGAGATTTACTGAGGCATATAAAGAGTGTTACCTTAATCGAGGTGCGAGAATACAAAAGCATGAATAACCCTGTCTACGTCAGGAAAAGACGCAGCTGATTTAATTTTGATATTATTTCTTAGGTAGAAGGAAGTAGCAGGATTGTGATGCCTAAATTTCTTGCTGTAGATTTTATATTAGTTTCCAGAGGACTAGTAAAGAGTTGTAATTTCCTTGCTAGGTGTTCAGGTCCAAAGATTATTACTTCTGTCTGAGTTTCACTGCAGAAAATTACAAATCATCCATTTCTTCATAGCAGTGAAGCTCCATTAAAGTGCTCAGACAGTTAACAGACATTATCAGACAACTAACATTATCTGGCTTAAAGGACAGGTAGATTTGGGTGTCATCAGCGTAACAGTTGGTAGGATACCCCATTAAAATGACTGATAATGTGTCCAAATGGAAGCATGTAAAGTGAAAACAAAATAGGACCAAGAAAAGATCCCTGTGGCATCCCACACATCAGTGGAACTGAGGACGAAACAAAATTAACAAAGGAAACAGAAAATTCTCTCTCTGAGATACGATTCAAACCTCGAGCAGTTTCAGATATACCTACACACTGATTATAATGCCTTATAACTGGATGATAACTGGATATGCAATTCTTTTTCAAGCTCTTTAGGAGGCATATTTTGCAAATAAATGCAAATCATAGTGTAGATTTTTTTTCTTTTGAAAACTTTTACCAAGTAGTGTCAACCATATTCAGGCCACACAGGAAGTAGTTTATGGACTCAGTCATATGTAATGTTATATGTTCAGTTTCCTTACCACTCCGATAGAGAAGTAGTTGTTGACGATGCTGTAGGGGACGGGGTCTCCCTTCTCTTCCTTGTCATCGGGGACAATGTCGATGTTCCAGCGGTCCAGCACCACCTCTATGCTGTGCTCGATGTCTCGAAGGAACTTCAGCAAGTTGCCGCCCTCGTATCCTGCCGACGACAGCCACAGAGGAAGAAGCCATGAGTAAAGATATGACCAAATGCCTCTCACGCATGTCTGAACTTTATTGCTCAGAACAGGGGTTGTATCTAGTGACTTTAAAGTGGCTATCAGGTGAATCAGATGATTCCAGCTTACGTAATAATTATCATCATCCTACATCTGTTTTACCATGTTTTTCTAAAGTTCTTGAAAAATTAGTATATTCCAGAATGAAAAAGCATATGGATGAGAGCAACGTACTGTATAGCCATCAGTAAATGGCTCTTTTGCAGCTTGTTAATGAAATCACTAAAGCTTTAGACAACGAGAAAATTACTCATAGCATATTCTTAGATTTGTCAGAGACATTTTACTCAGTTGATCACAACAGAAAAATAGCTTTCATAATGTTGCTTTAAATTGTCTGCTTGATTATTTGACAGACAGAGAACTGTATGGCTCTATTAATAGGTATGATTCAAACAGAGCTAAGCTACTTTGTGGAGTACCTCTGGGCTCCATTCTCGGACCACTTTTGTTCTTGATTTACATAACTGAATTATATACCCAGGGTCTGCAAAAATATACTGCCTTTTTTTTGCTGATGATACATGTCTGGTATGTTAACATGAAACATTTTAGCACACTAGAGCTATCATCTATTTCCAAATGGTTTCAGATAAACAAACTCTCTCTCAATATAGAAAAACTGGACTTTATGATATTTTTCAACAAAAATAAAAAATATAACAAAGATAAAGCCAAAATGTTCATAGATAACATCGAAATCACTCAGATTCCACACATTAAATTTCTAGGGGTCGTAGTTGATGAAAAACTAACTTGGAAATACCATATTGAACTTGATAAAGGATTATAAAGGCAATTGGTATCTTAAATAGAGTTCATTCACTGGTCAATCATTGCTGTATTCTAACTTTGTACTACAGCTTAATTTACCCTTTTATTATGTATTGTAATACTGCCTGGACTGCCACATGTCCCACTTATCTCAATAAGATCTTTCTAATTCAACGTGGCCTAAGTCTTCCTCAGACATTCGCTTATATTCCACAAGACTAAGGACCTTTATCTTTCATATAGTTGGACTTCTCTCAACATTCACTGAAATACAGAGGAGCATCTCTTTGAAACAACCTGCTTCTATCTCTACAATCATCACCTACATTATTGTTATTCAAAAAACACCTGAAAAGACTCTAATTTGCAAAGACTCAACACTTCATTAATGTAATTTGTTCGTGTTATTTTTGTTGTTGTAAATTGTGCATCTCGAATAATTCTGTTTGACTTTTTAGTCTGGAGCTGTTGTTCAATTATGCAATCTTGCTTTTTTATATTTTTCTTTTTATGTATGATTGTTGTTATTTATTAGAGGAGATATCTTCATGAGCCACTTTTGGCCTCTAACCTCTCCTGCACAACTTTTAATTTCTTTTTCCTGTATTTTCTATACATGTATGCGCAAATAAACTAAACTAAACTGAACCACACAAACACACAGATCCTTTTGTTTTCCTGCTGAGAGGGCTGATTCACCCTTAATAAATAAACATAAATCAGCAGCACAAAATAAATAGCACATAAGGAGGAGGTTGGAGGCTTTAATCAGAGGTCCTGGCTATACATTTTCAAAAATGATTATTTAACCCAGTCCATATTTAAAGCCCTACATTTAACCGGTGGAATGGTGGATTATGTGTTGAAACTTGAAACACAATGGCACTGATTAGGCAGTCATTTCATACAGACCGCCTCCCTCACCACCTCCGAACCTAGATCATGGCCCGGGCCTGACAGCACCCCGGGGAGCCCTCTGGTTTTGCTCCTCAGCTGACAGCCTGTCTCAGCAGCCTGGCTTCTTAATAGCGATCAGAGGCGGAAGTGCCTTCCGAGCAGGGTGTCACGAGGGCGTGAGGCATTAATGAGTCCCATCACACTGGGAGCATCGTGTGTGAAATATGAGCGTTTGCATATTCTGACATACTGCCACTATAAAGATATAACAGCAATTTCAGAGAGGGAACAATTTCCTTTTCATATAAAAACAATTGTCCCTGTCCCACTGGAACCTTCGGCACGTTTTATTGTGAGTGTGAGCAGACACTCACATCATCATCATCATCATCATGCACTCACGTGTATCAAACACTCGGGAGCCCATGATTAGTTTCACTAATTCTCCAATTTACAGATGACGACAGATAGAGGGGCTTTTGCCACAGACATAAACTGAAACATGACAAAACTCCTGTGTGCACGCACTAACAAGATTAAGGGCCCTATTTACACCAAGCAGCGCACGACGACACAAAGTGACGCACAGCACAAAGCACATCTGTCTGGTGTCAGACCTAAGCAGTTGTGTGCCTGTCTCTGCGCCCATGGACGTGTACACCTTAAAATGTGGTGTGGTCAGGCACTAGATGAAACAAGTTATCCTCTGGGCACCGTGCATATCTGTACCAAGTTTCATGGCAATCCATCCAATAGTTAGAGAGATATTTCAGTCTGGACCAAAGTTGTGGTGAACCGACCAACCGACTGACTGATCCCTTGAGCTGCGCCGTTAGCGGCTGCAGAGACTCCAGCTTTTACTTCATGTTTATTTCTAGGAAAGATGATCTATTCAACAAGTCCCAGAGCCGCCCCCGGGCCTGGCAGCTTAATGACAAAATGTCATTCAGAAGCTTGTGTAAGTGCTCTGCTGGTCCTCCAAGCAGCAACAATCAAGCAGTCATAAGCAGCTCTTCTAATTACTGGCCCAACGTACTGCAACAAATCAATGGTGCTTTGCATATTAACAGTTTTTAATTTGACACATAAGAGCTCCCACTTTCCTCCTCCCGTCTTTCATTTCCTAAAAACACTCACACACACGCCTGCCTTCCATACTCTAGTGTTCAGCTGAGACTCTGTCTGAAACCACAGCCGCTCTCGAAGCATCCAAATGAACCCTATCTGAGTGTTCAGGCTGCTGTCAAGTTAATCAGCTGCACATTTTACACCGTTCTGTTGAGTTGGGTCAGTTTCCGGTTTTGCCAAACTGGTTCAACTGGCATTGGCACAGCATCACTGTGCTAAATCCAACTTGTATTGCATTAGTAATAAGCAACATGGTAACGTATGTCTAACCCTCATAGCCAGGCCAGAAGTCTCGGTGTCATCTTTGATCCAGCTTCAAATTTGACAAACAAATTAACACTTCTGAGAAAGGTTGCTTTTTCAAGCACAGAAATATTGCCAAACTCAAACCTGAAGATCATCAGGAGAGCCCTGATTTCCTCTTGTCTGGATTATTGTAATGTTCTGTACGTGGGAATAAGCCAGTCATCCTTATCTCACTCGCAGTTGGTACACAACGCTGCTGCTAGACTTCTAACTGGTACACAGAAAACAGACCACATCACACCTGTACTGGTGTCCCTGCACTGGTTACTGGTCAAGTAAAGATCCAAGTTTAAGGTTAGACTGTTCCTACTGTATTCAGTGTGGACTGAGAACTTTAATGTGACATGACATGTGATCGTGGCTGCTGTTATGCTCCACTCAGTAGCGACTGGTGGGTCAAGTGTGACTAGATTTAGCGGGATTTTGAGATTTAGTCCAGTGTTTTGCTTAATATCAGACCAGAATGAACATTGTCACACTTTTCCTACCCTGCTGTTCTGTCTATACTAAACCAAGATGAACCTTCACAGATTATTTTCACTGAAATATTGGGAGGAGAACTAGAAATCTCTAAACGAATGTTTTTCATCCTCAGGATCCGGAGTTTCCCAGACTTTTAGTTGAGTCAGGACCACTTTAATCAAAGAAAGCAATTTGATATTTTGTGATATGGCTCTGTTCTGGGGCCTCTCTGCCCTTCCACATGCATACAAGGAAAGCCTAAGGCAGAGAGAGCAGCAGCAGCAAAGACCCCTGGGAACAGAACAGAACAGCACCAGTGACAAACAGAAATGACATTGATAAGTCAGACACAATATAAAAAGGAGGAGCTGGGGTGGAGGCAGGTTGCAAAGCAGCTTGCAGAGGAAGCAGCAACAGTTTAAATAGGGCGCCCTGAATGAGATCTGCTAATTGGTTGCATACAAAAGGAATCATGTGATCTATCAGCTGACTCCCTTCCTGATCAGGCTGTTTGAGATCAGCTGATTTACATACAAATCTGACTGATTTGTGTTGCTCTGGTTTGGTTTTTATGGTTTTTATTTCGTGTAAGTTTTATAAATGTCTATATGAAGACAAATGGGAAACACTGCAGAAAACACACACACACACACACACACACACACACACACACACACACACACCGATGATTGAGCGAGTGCCTCACCTCCTCCCCAGCGTAAGCAGCGTGCCAGGTCGTTCCCTGTGCCCAGAGGGAGGATGGCCACCGGAGGGTGCCTGGCAAAGTTGGCCTTATCTGCAGAGGCAAAGACAAACAGATCCATCTTATGTTTGGTTAGCTGAACCGTCCTTGAAACAGGTGTTTCTAGGACAACTTGATTTTCATCGCTTCGGCCATTGTGTCTGTTGGTTATATTGACATTATAATAACAAGTTCATTGCAGAGATCTGTGCATCTACTGCATGTCTGTCTGTCCTGGCAGAGGGAGCCCTCCTCTGTTGTGCTACCTGAGGTTTTTGCCTATTTTTAGGGGGGAGTTTTTCCTGATCTACTGTGAGGGTCAAAGCATGGAGGGTGTCATATGTTGTAAAGCCCTCTGAGGCAAACTGTGATATGTGATATTGAGCTTTATAAACAAAATTGAAATTAAAAAAAAAAAAGATCTGAACTGAATCTGAGAACCTGCCAAGTTGCTACAACAAAGCCTGATGGGACAAGAGAAGCAACGTCCTGTCAGATTATCAGACAGGACAGAACCAAGAAATCTTTTTTTATGTACTGTTGTGAAACAAAAACACTTTTACAAGTGCTGGATCAAAAAAATTAAACAAAGGCAAAATCAGACAAAAGATGTGCACAGTGTCTTGAAGCTCTCAGCAATTTTAATTGTGCAACATAGTGATCGTTTGATCGAATCCCATCCCAGCTCTGTCACGTCCCTTGGTGTGAAACTGATGCAGAAGGAAGGAACCCTTCGCTGTCTCCATGAGATGCACAGGACTTTGAACTTATTCCAGTGTAAACTCATCTGCGACAATATTTAACACTCAGAGCGACTGACGTACAGTGTTAGTCAGTCGTGTCTCGTTACTAACTCCATTTCTCAGTAGCATGGTGGTAACGTCACTACTTTCTGAGTCAAAAAGCTTCTCAGTTGCGAAGTTGATGGACTGATTAACCACGTGGTTGGGTTTAGGAAGAAAGAACAGAGTTTGGCTTTAAAATCACAAGGGAAGCAAACACCGGCCTTGTGGGTGAAAGTCCATCCACCACCCCTCCTGCCTGCCCTACTCTGACCTCAGCCGCCTTAACTTTCATTGTTTTCCTGTTGCTGCCCGGGCGCCATTAAACCATAACAGTGACTGGCCGATATCATGCCAACATGAAGATACGGCTTTTTTTGTTCGTGTTTGTTGCTGGAAGTTACTGACCAACCGCCAGTATTCAATCACTTCAGAGTGAGACTGGGTTGTGGGAAAGCATCAGTATTTGTGATGAGAACATGTTGTGAAGCTCTGTCTAATCATGATGATCTAAGTTAGATTGAAATGTTGCACATTTAAAACTGCTGGGAGCTTGAAACACAATGTTGTTAATCATCCTTCCTTACACATGAACATGTTCAGGATTACAGCAAGTCAAAGTTTGACATTTTTAATCTTGCCTTTGTTTTCATCGTCAAATACGTTTGGCACATCAGAGGGTTTATTTACAACCCGTCTGCCCTTCTGGCTGCTCATAATTGTTGGTTTCTTTTTAGAGATCCCAGATCTCAGCATTAAATTGAGGATTACAATGTTAACATGCCCTCTAGAGACCATGGCCCAAACTATGAAAAGACTCAAGTTGTAACCATTGGTGATTTTGTCATGAGTCCAGAGGAAGGATCTGTGTACCTATACAGTCGAGGATCCAGCCCACAGTACCGTCACCTCCACAAGCAAGCACCCGGAAATCAGGGACATCATGGAAAAAGTTGAGCCTGAGGAGACAGAAGATCCAGCACAGCTTTAAGCACCACATGTAGAAAGAAAACAAGAGTTTTACACGTGTATTGTTTGGATGTTTCTCCACAGGCTCCTCAGTCTCAATGTCAGAGTGCATTATAGGTGATAAATCCTCTGATTGGATTTCAGAAAAGTTGAGACGGGGATTTTCTGAGCTCTGAATGATTTAATGAACTGAGCTGAAAGGCTGATGGGCACAGGGACAGACAGAGAGAGTTTAATCAATGTGTGCCCTCTCCAGCTGTGTTCACTCCGCTCCTTTCCCTAGAAACCGTAGTCACAGAGTGCATGCCCTTCAAAGGGACCTTTAATGTGTGTTGGGACAAAGGTGTCGACAGAAGCTTTCATCTCTCTCCGTCATGAGACAGCTGCATACAGGGCACAGTCCCCTTTCACACCGACCACCTGGCCCTGCACACTGACAGCACACAGACCCTCTAAATCATGTCCATCTCAAAATAAAGAGGCAAATACTTATCTGGTGTTGTAGGTGGCGATTTGTCCTGGTGATGTGATGGCACTAACACGATGACTGGCTCACTCAACATTAAAGGGACCACTTGTACTTTTATTTATTTTCTGTCTTATACATATATATAATATTGCAATGGAGGACGTTCATATTAAACATGGCCACAGTTTTAAATAATAAACGTATGTGAAAGTTCCCTGTGAGCAGAAACCTGCAGGATTCAGATTGTTCTGAACAAGCGTTATTTCTACTTCGGCAACAAGCTGACGTCAACTTGTAAAGCATTTCTTTATATGGTCATCTGCTCCAGGCTACTGCGAGGACTTCTGTTAGATACACTGCTACATGTAGCCACATGCTAACATCAGGGAAACGTGTAATCTTGGTTGCCAATGTTGTTATTTCTCCCTGATTTTGGATCTTATTCCTGCTGGAACACGTCAGTTTGTAAAGATTTAGGGTGAGAAGCTCCTATGGGTAATTTTTTACAGTAGAAATTTTCTGTGACAGTGACTTCCTGGCTGCAAATACACTGCTACATGTAGCTACATGCTAACATTGGAGACAAAAATGTGATCTTGGTAGCTGATGTTGTTGATTCCTTCCAGATTTCAGATCATATTCCTGCTGGAACATGTCTGGTTGTGTTTGAAGGGTATATTAGTGTTTTAATGCAGCAGAAAGTGTTGCTATTCTCTGTAACAGTCGTTCTGCTGCTGCACGTGTACTATTAATGTACACGTAGCTACATGTGAACATCAAGGAAACATGTAATCTTGGTTGCTGATGTTGTTAATTCCTCCCAAATTTCAGGTTGTTTTAAGCAGGGTGATTTTTTTTTAGGGTAGGGAGTGCTTCTGTTGTCTGTTACAGTCGTTCTCCAGTGGCAGTTTTTGGGCAGAAATACCAAGGATGCTGACCAATCAGAACAGACTGGGTTTTAGGGAGGGGGCTAAAGGTCCAGACACACCAAACCGACATCAAAGAACTAGCGGTGATGAAAGCCAACCGTTGAGTCGTCTACGTCGCCTCACGTCGCCCTGTGTCAGTTGCATTTGAACACACTACACGGACTACATCCGACGGCCAAGTTGCACGTACGTTCTGCGCCTGCGTGAGAGAGAGCGGAGTGAGAGAGTGGTACATCCTGTCAGCACCGCAGCACCTCCACGGACTATTACATCCAGACGGTCCCGGTGTTTCCTCCACAGGCTCCACTTCACTCAGCTGCCCGATAAACCCGCTGCTTCTTCCCACTTTAACCTGAATAACAAACCAGGGCTCGGTGCTCCGGTTGGATCCAAACGGAGAGCCGGGGCTAGCTCAGAGACTAGCGGAGGCTAACTGACGCTCCCAGCTAGCTCCGGTTTGTTATTCAGGTTAAAGTGTGAAGAAGCAGCGGGTCTGTGGGGCAGCTGAGCCAACAGCCAATCAGAGCGATCTCGCTCACTGACAAGCTCCGCCTCCGATTCAACATGCTCAATCGGCTGAAAAGCCGCCAACGCCGACAGCAAAGTGCCGATGGTGCAGGACACACTGCAAAAACTAGGCCGACAGACGCTCACTGACGGCCGACTGACGGCTTGGTGTGTCAGGGCCTTTAAAGATACAGGTGCTAAAACAGAGCTGATTATGTTTAAAAGCTAAAAGCTAAAAGTCTGTGATTGGCATTAAAAACATAGATTGCTACCATTTGAAGATATATCTTAATTATGTTACTATAGCCTATAAAGAAAATACAGCTGTACCGGCCGGGACACACTAGTGCAAAGAAATCGTTTCCATGTGTACCATGCATGGAGCGCCTGGTGTTGACTGTCTATTCATGGTTACGCAGGCAGAATGTTGCTTACCATCTGAAAAGACTTTAAATGACATCAGACTGCAAGGTCGTCCAGCAGAAAAGTTTAATCTGGTTCAACTTTTTCTGGGCCACAGCGCAACATCTTTCAGCAAGACGCTGTGTTAGGCAACTATTTTTTTTATTTTGAAAGCCGTTCAATTGCTGTTTAGCTCTCAATCAGGGTTTTAGCACCTGATAAGTCTTCAGACTAGCTGATCTATTATCCAACTGGACCTCCGGCATCAGATTACATGTCTCATCGGTACCTGAAAGAATACTGCCAGCATTAATCCTTGAGACATTTAAAACAGACTCCTCAGTCTTTGCTCTGATGTAACTGTGTTCTCAGTGGTGCGCTCAGATCAAAGTAGGTGTTGGATAATATCTGGATCAGTTCAGGCGATGCAGAAGCCACGAGGCAAACAGCCCTCTCCAATGGACGTGCAGAGAAACTACACCAACATGCACCCGCTGTGGGAACATTCTCACAACATGGAGCTGTGTAGCATCCAAGAAAACCCTTCTATGTCAGCATAAAATTTTAATGAACCCATCTAATCCCGACTGTTTGTGTCTATGCTTTATGTATGACAGGTTCAGAGGAACATGTGCATCAACAGAGAAACAAATGGAGGTCTCACATTAATGGAAGAGGCTGAAACAGTGTTTGTAATGACCGAAAATCCAGCGAGGAAGTGCATTCCCTAAACAAATTACTCAGAGTAAGCTGCCTCTCACCTCGCAGCCTGCTGAGCCTGTTGCTAGGGAGCCCATGGTAACAGTTGTGGAGAGTTCAGCTGAGAGCAGGTTAACCCTCTACGTGTCAACAGACCTTCATTCAGCCTCTGTGTGTTTATTTGTATGCATGTGTTAATATTCACTTTCACGTACTGTAGAGCCTCTCTCCCCCTCTCAGCACAGCTCCCCCACCGCTCAGTGGTAACAGTATTACATCATCCTGCGCTCAGATGTGTGTTATTGGAATAACAGACACATACGCACTTGAAAAGATGAAGCTGAGCATGACAAAGAGCTTCTTTATTTATAATTACATAATCACTGTAAGTCCCAATCATGACAAAATGTTCTTTCTCTGAGGTAATGCCACAGGATAGAGCACTGGAAATGTTTTATCATGAATGAGATGAGAAATTGACAAAAGTGACACTATTATTTAATACACTAGAAGTGATGACATTAAATTAAATGCCAGTTAATAAAAAAAGGCTACGATTAATAGTTTATTTCTTTTTAATACCCTCTGTTTAGTTCAGGATGTTGTGTCACTGAACTGTAACTGTAAAACTTCAATTAAACGGCCAGTCCCTTTTACTATCCTAGCTTGGCTACTAGGGATGCACCGAATATTCGGTAACCGAAACCAACCTGACTGATGATGTGTAAAAACAGTTATCCCCATGAGGACATTAAAGAACCTAACCTAACCTAACCTAACCTAACCTATATTCGGCCAAATATTGCAAAATAAACTACACATTTGGTATTCGGTGGAATAAGTGAAAAGCAAGGCTGAATAATAGTGGCGTGTTTTGATGACGCAATCAAACAGCGTGCCTTGACGGATGGAGTAAAATGTCAGCAGTGTGGCGATATCTTACTCCTTCCATCACCGCACTCGCATTTGCGACTAAAAATAGTTTTGTGCGAGCAAAATAAATCATTCAGCACTCTGTGTGAGTACAGATTTCAACTAGCAGCAGAAACAAAAGGCAAATCCCACCGGTTGTGGGTTGAACGGGGGTCACAGACACGGACAGCAATTTGTATTCCTGTCAAATACAGCGGCCATAGTGCTCCGCGGTGCAAGGCTTACCGGCAACGGAGAAGTCCAGCTCCAATAATATCCTCTTCTTGGTGTCATGACTGCCCAGAAGTACCTGAACAGCCGAGCTGTGGCGGCACACAGGTATGTGGCGTGTCAGAGGAGAAACGAGCCGTTCACATTTCTCTCTGTGTCAGTAATGGTCCACAAACCTCACCGCACTTTAGGGACTGTTCTTTACTTATGAAGGGACTGTTCTTTACTTGTCAGGGGAGGAGGGTGGCTGGTTGATTCTTATTTTATTTATTTATTTTATTTTGATCCCCCCTATGTTAATCACTTATTGATGCTGTTGTTGAAGTATGAATAAGTCAATAAGTAATTTATTCCATTGAAATATCATTGATGTATTATAGAAAATGATTTATCTTTTTATAAATGACAAAAGGCACATCTGCCTCATTTTCGCTGTGGTATCCTGATACTACTCAGAACCTTGATATTTTCATTGGTATTTTACTTTGGGTTCCAATTTTGGTACCGTGACAACACTAATCTGGAGGGGGTTCATCTGCAAAAACTAATGAAAAACTAAAAAATGGCATTTGGTATTCGGCCAAGCATTTAATTTTATTCGGCTTCTGCCACAAATTTTCCTTTCGGTGCATCCCTATTGGCTACACATTTTGACAAATAAAGGCCTGTCTCAATTAGAGGCCTGGTCTGGTTGTCAAGCAGTTCTTTTTTTTTTTAATAGAAGCTTTCCAGATGTATAAAAGCAGGTTGTTGGCTACCTCAAATTAAGTGTCCATTCCTCGATTACCCTGTAAGTTATTCATATTCCTTCAGTCTGTAACGGTCCTCAGATCAAAAGAAT